GCAGCCTACGCAGTCCCTGGCCCTGGCGACTCAAGGCAGCCCAGCCCAAGGTTGAGCTGTTGTTCAGCATCTTAGCTGTAGAGGGCAGTGTCACTGGCCCTCATATGTGGGATCTGTACCTGGGCCCTCTGGTGTCCCAAGCCAGCTCTTAACCAACGCACCGCTTGGCCGGCCCTATATTTACTAGTTTAAAAGATATCACCAGATTGCTTCACAAAAGGTTTGAGGATCTTTTTATGTTTATTGGCTGTTTGGATTTACTTTTCTGTGAATTGTTCCTTTGTCTGTTGGGCTGTTTATCCCCTCCAGTTTGTGAGAGTTTCTTGTTTATTCTATTGTAGATAGTAGAATTTTCATTTGTCATTTCCCCCCAACTTTTTCAATATTTTTAAAATGCTAAGTCTTATCTGGAGGATTTATTTATTTATTTATTTATTTATTAGAAGAGTGAACTCCATTTACTAAATTTACAATTATAGTATAAACTCACATAGCTTGTTGTTCATTTGAGTTCTGTGTAAATATATGGCTTTCCACTAGTTAAATTCTAGTAAAATGCCTTTCAACTTATTTAATCATTCTTTAACCTAGAGGGCCTTAAGAATTTGCCTTATTTTTCACAGCATTGATACGGTGGATTCAGACTTTCTAATCCTACGTTCATTGGTTCATTTAGGAAACATTAGTTATGTGCTTATTTTCTGCTAAATACTGCACATTGGGGTAGACTTTGGAGATTACTTTTTTGGATTATTTACTGCTTCCCATGCGTATGCTAAGTGCTTGGCATGACATTTAATCCTCTCAACAACCTTACTATTATTACCACCATTTTTGGATGCAGAAATGGAGTTAAACAGATCCCCGAGGATACACAGCTCATGTATTTTGAATCTGTTAAGTAGTTTGACTTAAAAGTTACTGTTAATGTGCTCCTCAAGGATTTGAAATACATAGACAAACTGATGGGATGGTATGTTGGTGGCACAGAGCTAGAATTACTCGATTCTCCCAAGGATGTAATTAGAGAAAATAAAACAGTGGAGAAGACCTTTCAAATTGCGTTTTGACGTATGCATAGAAATTCAGTAGGTAGGCAGGATGAGGGAAGAACAATGGCATTCCAAGAAGAGAGAAATAGATATGAGGGCACTGTTTTCCAGGAACGGCGTGGCATGGCTGGAATGTAGGGTGGGTGATGTATGAAGTGGGTAAGTCATGTCACAAAAGGCTTGCATTCTTTGATAAAATGTGTAGACTTTATCTTTTATCCAGGGTGAAACATAAAAAGGTTTTAAGCATTTTAAAAGATACCACACTCAACCTTTGTTTTCTTGGGAGTAGGCAGCTGAAAGCTGGAACATTACCATTGAAACACAGATTATTGTGTAGAATTACTGATGTGTAGCAAATTAATGGCGGGTTAGTTTACATTCTTCTTACTGAAGCTTGATGCAAATAGCATTTAATAAGACAACCAATTTTAGACTTATAAGTAGAATCTCTTAAATATATCTGATAGCCCTCAAATTATGAGTGTCTTATAGTCTCAACATCTATTTCATAAATTGTTATGCATATTGTTACACATAATTTCTTGCTTAGCTAGCTTTCTAAAACATCCTTTGACAATACACATTTCCCATATTACTGACAATACATGTGTAAACAAACATGTTAATGATCTGAACATATTCTCTAAAATACATGCTTTTCAAATGCCTATAAACTTTGTTGTATGGGACTTTCATTCTAATTCTCGAATACCAATACCAGAATTTGTACTTTGTATTTTTTAATCCATAAGAAAACAGGGCTCTTGAAATTTATTTAGTCTGAAATAAGAAGTGCTCTGAGTATAAAATACAAGATTTCTAAGAACTTACATTTTTAAAATCTCAATTTTTATATTATTACATGTTGAAATTACATGATTTAGATATATTGGGTTAAATAAAATATTTATACCTGTTTTGTTTTGTTTTGCTTTTAATGTGACTACTAGAAAATTTTAAATTATAAATTATAGTGGATCACACTATATTTTTATTTTTTTATTTTTTATTTTTTAAAAGATTTTATTGGGGAATTGGGGGAGGGGCACAGTGTTGGGGAATTGGGGAAGGGGACCAGACAAGTTGTTGTTCTTTAATCTTAGTTGTGAAAGGTGCCAGTCACCATATTGCTGCCCGTTGGCAGCTCGTGGCCTCTAAGCTCAAGGTGCTGTGTTCAATCTTAGTTGCGGGTGGGCGTAGCCACCATTCCATGCGGGAATCGAACCAGCAGCCTTGTTAAGAGCGCATGCTCTATCCACTGAGCCATCCGGGTGGCAGCTCAGCTCAAGGTGCCGAGTTCAGTCTTAGTTGTGGGTGGGCATAGCCCACCATCGAACAGGCAGTCTTGTTGTTACACCAGCTGAGCCATTCTGCCACCTGTAGGCAGCTCAGAGACAGCTCAGCTTGGGCGCAGCGTCACTGGCCCATGTGGGAATCAATCCCCCAGCCCTGTTGCTCAGAGCTTATGCTCTTAAGCCAACTCTTAACCAACTGAGCCACTTGGCCGGCCCATGTATTTTTATTTTTTTAATGCTGCTCTATACAGTGATTCTAAAATTACCTATGGATTTCTAGTTCTGTCAAGTATTGTTCCAAAGCAATTTGGATAAAATAAGAGACCAGAACCTTTATGAAGGAATTGTATTTTGAAAGAGGATACTGATAAATTCAGGTAATTCTGTGATTGAAGACTTCCTGTGAAGATAACTGGAATACAGGCCACTCCTGTTCAGACAGGCCTCTGTTGTCAGGGCCTTTCCTTTGGGCTCCTGCTGAAAAGGTGCTGTCTTGGTGGCTGCTTCCTTGCTTTGCTTCTGCAACCACAGCTTCACTTTTCTTCACCAGGTTCCCGTTGGTTGCTGGACTTTAGTGATGGGGCAGATGAGGTGCTTGTAAGTGGGACAGCCTTTAATGACAACCACAGTAATGAGACAGTATTGCTTCTCCTACCACAAGGATAACTGATAGAGCATGTTGTCATCACTGACAGTAAGGGCAGCAGACCTTTGAACTTACCACGGACTGCCTGAAGAAGGCTTTGCAGAGTGGAGTTGGGAGCTTAGTAGTTTTGGCTGTTGGCTTGTTATTGTTAAGGTTCTGACTAGACATAGAAATTTTCTCATTGTTGCTAGATTCATAGCTGAAAATTATTTCAGGATCATTTCCCTCACTTTTTATTATGTATGTTGCTTTCTGGTAAAAACAAAAGATATAAATTGCTGTTTTAAACATGAGGGCTTCACTTTTGTGATTATGTTATATAATGTACACTAAGTTTACACTTTAAAAAATCTAGGAACCCTACTTTAAAAAAACTATTTGTAGTCCCATTAAATAGATTGGATCATGATATTGTATTTTAACCAATCAATACGTTGAGGCTTTCCACATAGTTTAGGAAATGGCATTTTTAGAACTGCCCTCTGACTAACCCAAAGCATGGGAATGACCTGACATTGTCACTTCTTTGGTTACCAGGCAATTAATTTGGTCTAACTGACATCCTTTTTGAAAGGTATTAATGAGGAATTTTCGTTCTATCTTTTTAAAATTACTCTGGCAAATCTTCCTTCTGACTAGTTGGAATAACGGTCAACTGAGATGGTGATACTACAATCTAATTTTGATTAGTGTATATACATGGAATATATTTTTTCATCCTTTTACTTTTTGCTTATCTGAGTCTCCATATTTAAAGTAAGTATCTCGTTGGCAGCATATTGTTGGGCCTTGCTTTAGTTTTTCAAATCCAATCTGGCAGTATTTGTCTTGGCGTGTTTAGACCAACAGAATTTTTAAAAATAAAGGACCAGACAGTGAATATTCCAGGCTTTGAAGGTCATCCATGTCTTTGTTGTGCAGCCATTCAGCTCTGCCACTGAAGTGTGAGAGCAGCCCGGGACAGTGTGCGAGTGACAAGCCGCTCTGTGTTTCAAGGAAACTTTGTTTACAAAGACAGGCAGTGGGCGGGATTTGGCACAAGTACTCTAGTTTGCTGACCCTGGTTTACACCTTTTACGTTTAATGTAATTACTGCTGTCATTCGATTAAAACTATTGTCCTGCTGATTGTTTTGTCTTTGTTATATCTGTGTTTTCTTTTTTCTTTTTCTGCTTTCTTTTGAATTATAATTTTTTTTGTAATTCTACTTTACCTTCACTATTGGTTTATTATTTATGCTGCTTAAATTTGTTTTTAGTGGTTGTCCTAGGATTTACAATATGCATCTTCAATTAATTATTACCTACCTTCAAATATTGTACCATTTCATGTGTAATGTAAGAACCTGACAACAATGTATTCCTGATTCCTATCTCCCATTCTTTGTGCCTCCCATTTTACTTTTACGTTGCTCATTTTTAAATCCCATTGGAGATGGACTTGGCAAACTTTAGTTTTTAAATCATCCTTTAACAATCCTCACTGTTCAGGTTTGTCATAGGAAGTTATAATTCATAAATTTTTACTGACTCACAGAAGAGTTAAGCATAGGGAGGCAGTAAAAAAAGCATCAGCCTAACACAGCTGCTGAATAACGTTTCATCCCACCCTTACCATTCAGAATTTTCTTTATTCATTAATAATTTAATTACTCTTACTTAAGATTTAATTTTGTTTTCTCCATGTACTGTATAATGAACACTGGAGCCAGATATTCTGTTTTTTATCTGACAGACTGAAGATTCTCACCCAGTTCTTACATTTGGATTTTTGGGTGTGTATTTCAGCTTTGAGTTTAAGCAACAGAATAATTGGTAATTTATGATTCTTTATGATTTCTAGATATATAGATAAAGCCAGTAATCTCTTATGTTTTATTAGTATGCTTGTTTTTCTTAGACATAAGCTTTGTTTATCTTTTCTTAAGTAATACAGAATATACGTAATATGTTCACTATATATAATTAGCTGGTTTTCCTTCAAGAAATTTTTCTTTTTTTGTAGTACTTGTCTGGTAGCAATCGGAAAGACAACATATTTATTGATCCAGGATACCAGACATTTGAGCAAGAATTGAATAAAATACTCCGAAGTTGGCAACCAAGCATACTTCCAGATGGTAATGCTTTTTTAAGTAAAACGGTTTCTGACTTGCTGCTGGGGTTTTTATTTTTACAGAAAGTACATTAAAAATAATTAGGAAATAATTTAAATTAGCATATTTTTCAGAGTACTTATTTATGAATTCATCTGTTCATGTTTTGTTGAATTAGAAGTGAATGTGGTTGATAATTAATGCTTCTGAAGAACTTGGTAATAAACATGACCTCCTTTCTCTGGAGTAAGGAACTGGATATTTATTTCTGAAGCCTCCAGCAGAGATTCTGATGTAAATTTATCTAAGAAACCTCTGTTTTAGATGTCTGACGTAAACATGTTTGTGAATGGAAATCACGTATTTTTTTTTTTTAGGAATTCTGACCATTGTCTGCTTACCTATGGAACAGAAGCCCCTTACTCCAGAAATGCTAATTCCATAGTCTGGAGTGTTCCCTAGCCTCCGTATTGTTAACAAGCTACATAGATAATTCTGACATTTATTCTAGTTGACCTGGTGTAAATGGAAGATTGCAATAGGCTTGTTCTTGAATTCACTTTATTTCTAGATGGTAAATGAGAACTGTTTTCTTTATTATCATTCTTTTAAAATCTTTCTCTCTTTCAGGGTCAATCTTTTCTCGAGTTGAAGAAGATTATCTGTGGAGGATAAAACAGCTCGGCTCACACTCCCCAGTAGCCCTTCTGAATACCCTCTTCTACTTCAACACTAAATATTTTGGCCTGAAGACAGTGGAACAACACTTACGGCTTTCCTTTGGCACTGTGTTTAGGCATTGGAAGAAAAATCCTTTAACGATGGAGAACAGAGCATGCCTCCGATACCAAGTGTCTTCCTTATGTGGGACAGACAATGAAGGTAGCATGACAGATTTTTATTTGGGAACTATCTGTGGCAGGGCTAGCCAAACCTCGCCTTACTAAAGACCACCTATGTCACTTGTTAAGAACCTGAGGACTGTCATTTTCATAAAATAAGGCATCCTATGTCTTTCAAAACATCTCAGTCCATTTTGTTTGAAAAACTATGATCCAGAAGCCACAAATTAGAACTCTGAAGGATACCTAGTCATGTTCTTTGGTATAACAGATAGTTGCTAGGACTGAATAGAGTGGATAGTACTCTCTTTCTTCAGGATTGGGCTCAGGAAGTTTATGTAATTTCTATTTTTTAAGATAAAATTACTACTGGAAAAAGAAAACATGAAGATGATGAGCCAGTATTTGAACAAATTGAAAATACAGCCAATCCTTCTAGATGTCCTGTGAAAATGTTTGAATGCTACTTGTCTAAAAGGTAAGTGTGAATGATACTTAAGTTTTACAATAGCAGTATAAGTTAGTTGCCTTGAATTTAGCATTAGCAAGAGGTGGCAGTTTTTCACTGATCCTTTTTTAGATTTCTCTCTCTTCTCACTTTTATCTAAGTCTATTCAATTATAACTTTAGTCCCATTATTATAAAATACCCAGCTTGTACTTCATACTTTAGGATTCAAGCATATGTTAAGAAATCGCTCTCTACTAGTGAAATTACTACTGTTGTCATCTTTTAAATTATAACAATTCTAGTGACTGTAAAGCAGGGGACACAAATCTTTTTTTTGTGAAGTGTCAGATGGTAAATACGTTAGGCTTTTTGGGCTATAGAGTCTCTATTGCAACTTCTCAATTCTGCCTTTTAGCCAGAAAGCAGACATATACTATATATAAATAACAGTCATGACTGCGTTATAATAAAACTATACACAAACAAGTGAACTATAGTTTGCCACCTCCTGGTAAAAAAGTATTTTCAAAGGTAGGATAGATAGGTGGAGATGAAAATGAAGTACCTACTTACCTTTAAGAGAAAAGAGCCTTTTAAGAAGGTCTGAAAGATACTAATAGTGTTCTGGAAGTACTATACTTTTCCGCTTATACCACTGCTTTTTCCCCAGTGTGATGCCAACAGACATTTAAAAAATTTTTAAACCAAGTGAAAAAGTTTAGAAACCACAAATTATTGTATACTTCTCCATTATTTTAAGTATGCACTCCCCAATTTTTAAAAGGTTAGCATGAACTTGGATTATATTTTCTTAGATAATCAGTTTTATAAATTCTAATTAGGTCCCCAAGTTAGTTCTTAAGAACTCATAAAAACAGTAATGTCACCTCTAGAATGATAGTGATGTTTCTAATGATGCTTTTGGGGTGGCCTTATTTGGCTGCAATAGAAGCAGCCATCTTCCAGTGGTAGCAACTATTTGTTAGTTAGAAATCCCTACCCTATTTCATAATTATCTTGTTGATATTTTACAAATTAAGGCTCTATTGGGTAGTGCTATTGAGTATTTTTGTTTTATGTGCTACCATATTCCATCAATTCTAAGACACATTTTTCACATTTTACCATCTCTGAAGCTGGGTTGCATGTTATAATTGATGCGTCTTACAATTGGCAGTGTTTTACTTGTTTAGTGGCATGATTAAAATGTTTATATTTATGGTGTCTTGGATTCAGTGAAATATAGGATTTAAATTACGGGAAAGTAACCTTTTATCACAGAAATTAAGTTTGAATTAATTTCAAAATATCTGAATAATAGAATACTTAATGCAGGTAATGAGGCCTATGGTCTGATCATGTAATGTGGGTACTGGTAATGGAATTATTCTTAGAAGAAGAAAAGAAAGTTGTGGGGAATTTTGTATATATGTTGTAAAACTGACTTTTTCCTTTCTCCCAAAGTCCACAGAATCTTAATCAGAGAATGGATGTTTTTTATTTGCAACCAGAGTGCTCTAGCTCGACAGATAGCTCTGTCTGGTACACATCTACTTCACTGGACCGAAACACCTTGGAAAATATGCTCGTACGGGTTCTTTTAGTAAAAGATATTTATGATAAAGACTATTATGAACTGGATGAAGACACAGACTGAAAAGGAACGTTTCAGAAGCAATCGGGATAAAACAGCATTAGATAGTCATGCTGCTAGATCTTTATTATGGAAAACATTTCAAGTTTACTCCTTCTGTTTTGAGTTTTGTAGCAGTGTACCCACACTGGGTACCATGTAAATAATCTGTGAGTGAAAGTGGCCATTATTCTATGTAGTGGTTTTAGGATACTTAACAAATACATTCAAATTCTTTTTTATTATTTATTTGATTAGGTATGTTTGTAACTTTTTACATTACAAAATATGAATGAGAATGTGCCATGTATAAGTTTTTTCTTGTAGTAAGAAACATCCATATTGCACAATTCTACTGTTGCAAAGCTTCCTTGAAGTGGGGCTCTGTTACTGGGTTCTTGACCAGACGGTTGTGGATGGGCAGCACTACAAAAAGTTTAGGACTTGCAGTGTCTTTCAGAATTTTTAAAATAAACTGTAAACTAATAGGCTGGGTTTTTTGTTTTGTTTTGGGGGGGTTTTGTTTGTTCGTTTTATGTTTTAGTTACTGAAGCCTTACAAGGTTATGTAGAGAGATACCACCTTCTGTACCAAAAATAGACAAGAGAATGCTGTCAATATTGGTGTACTGTAATGTGAATCTATACTGGTGAAAACAGCCTTTTGTTCCCCTTATTAAAACCTTAGTGTCCTTTTCTCACTTGTGGCTTTCTGCATCACCCAATCAATACTTTAAAAAAATACATATATATGTATGTATATATATATATGTGTGTGTATATGTATGTATATATATATATATATGAAGAATGACGTTGAAACATGATTGAGACATTTTCTTTGTAAAAATGTCTGATAAAAGTATACAGTTCTGTTTTCTATGCCACCCATAAGTATCCAAAATCCCCTTCATTTATAGAAGTTTGATTTTTCTTTTTCCCTCCTTAAGGATACAGATCTTGTTGGAATACCTACGCAGTACTCTAAAACTTCAATTTTATTAGAATTCTTGTGCCTGACCTCAAATATGACCGATGCATACATTGGATAAAATTATTTTTAGAAATGCCACTCCTAAAATAGATGTTATAGACAGTCAAGCTAGTTGAAATAAGATGGTATCACATGTTACTATGAAGATAACCAGTCTAGTAATTCTGATGTATCAGATGATTGAAGAACAAAGGAAGAAACTGATGGATAGAGTACATCTCAAAGGAAGTCACATTTGCGGTTAGATTGTTTGGCGTTTGAATTTTAATTACTTCTTATAGAAGATTGCATTAAAAGACTTTGTGCTTCTGCGTAGCAATTTATCTGTTCAGACCTTTTCTTTTAGAAGGACGTTTACTTAAGATCCTACCTTCTAGAGACTGAGCAGAGTGCTCGCTGCAGATTATCATAAAGAAATCCTTTGGCTGACTTCATACGGCATGTGTGTAATCATGTTTGCTTGTTTCTACTTCCTCAATCACCACAGTGACATTAGTTTTTTTAAATTGTTGGGGGCGGGGGGGATTGGGCTCTTTCCACAGTGCTTAGGCTATGTCTACCCATCCCTTAGATACTGCTGTCTTCCTTAGGATAAATGTTGTTAGCATTCAGAAGAAATTTTCTCAATCATGATTTGGAAAATTTCACAAGTGTAATCACTGTATATTTAAGCAATAATTAGCAAAAATATTTTTGGCATAAAAATTATAATGTTCTAACTTGTTTTATAAGTTTGAATAACGTTTCTGTCCCTTAATTTTATATTGTTGATTTGGTAATCAGACTGACAATAGCAAGTCTGATAATACTTTACTAAAAATAGATTGCTCATTGTCTATTTAATGAAGAAAAATGGGTAACACATTTAAAATATATAGTGCAAAAATGTCCTCATACTTACCTTTTCCCAGAAGTACTTCTTTAAGCACTTTTACTATTAGACGCATGTTGTTGATAAAAAGGTGGTTAATCCTAACTGTCTTTTATTCTTGAAAGTGGTGCTATTCCATCAAGAGCAATAAACTTTTTCCCAAATGTCACTTAATGGATATTTTACCAAATACCATACACTTCTGCCATGGTACTACTTACTATTAAGCACCTTGTCTTGCTATTTACATTCCCTTTATTGTACATTTTAGCTTTTCTAAACAGAAATGTCTTCAGAATTTTGATCTTGACATGAATTAAGGATTTAGAGCTCTTGTCTTTGTCTTGATTGCAATCCAAGGATTGATTTACTTGACTCTCAGGGGAAAAGAAAAAACATCCTATTTAATGAGAATGGTTTGTTCTGTGACCCTTGCTTCACCTAGAATGCATTTCTCTGGATCTCCTTAGTTTGTGTGGTTATAGCTGACTGCTGAGAAAAAGAACAGTGAAATGACAGCAGTTTTTTTTTGCTTCTTAGTGATTTCTGATTAAAGCATCCTGTAAATATAACTTTATTGTCTTTAGATGTCTATTGGAGATGCTATATTTTTCTGTTGTGAAGATTTTGCCGTTTAAAATGAACCAGTGAAGAAGTTTTTATCCATACTGAGAAAAGTGAATTTCCCATGCAAATTGAATCTTCATTAACACGTTTTTTTGGCATTTAACTGTATTCGGTAATATAAGATATTAAAGAATTTTTCTAGGCAAAGTTTTTTTTTTTTAAGTCATAAGAATACATTTTGTTTAAATAGTAGTTCATGGTTTTTCTTTTGTTACATGGAGGTATTACCAGAGTGTTGAACATACTGAGATAGGAAGAGGGTGCATATTATACTATGCATTTAAACTTTTGTCACGATTTCTCGTGGACTTTCCCTTTGTCCTGGCTAATTGTGATTTGGGAATGGGGTAACTCTTTATGCATAGTATTAAGTATTACAGTAATGGAAAATTCATAAAATTGCAAATTTTTGGTTTGTACTACTCTCATGTGGGTCCATTTAATCTGAGATCTTAAATATCTTGCAGTCATAAAGCACTATAAAAATTACATTTTTATTTCACCAGTTTTTTCCAAAATGTGTTGTTATACATAATGTCACTTGTGTTCTAAGTTAACATTGACTGTAGGATAATCTCCTTGTTCCCCTCAAACAAAATAGTCATGAAAGTGTACATGAAAATATTTTTAAAGAATAAATATCTTCAACTAAATTAAAATAGTTTTGGGTTTTCCCCCTTACTAAGCCCTTACTAATTTTTAGAGAAGTTCTTTGAATTTTAGTTATTCCACCTACTGTATTCTTTAGAATCGATTATTTTTAAAGTGTTTTTCAGTGCTAAGTACTTTCTTGTTGTTTCTGGGTATATCATACTTGCAAGTGACACTACTAACAAAACCTTACAAATTTAGGAGCTGGTTAACTGCATCAGTCTGAGAGTAAGTTGCTGTGATCGCCTGCCTTATAATGAACTGGACAAGAGAAAGTTGTTGCTAAAACCTGGGCAGATTAAACAATTTCAGGAATTTAGGCCTTTTGAGAAAAAGAACCAAAGAGAAGCAAAGATTTCATCTGAGTAAAGTATTAAGAATAGAACCAAAGAGAGGGTCACAGACCAGGTGGGTCCATGATGGGAGTTCATTGTGTCATTAGTGAAGGCAAGATGTAAATCATAATAGCATATTTTCTATTGTAGTGCAGTGGGAAGAATAATTCTAGTGCTCTTTGGAACATCTGATGAGGTACAGTATACTGTCTTGGGCTTCAGTTTCTTTATCTGTGAGATGAAGGCATTGCCTTGATTTCTGATTCTGGAATTTCAAATGAAGCACAGTTGGTATTCTACTTAAGAGACTTAGTTATACATTTTACAGATTTATGTTTGAATCCTTATGATTTATTTAGAAACACATTTTCTTGGAGAAGGGAAAGATCTTTCCGAAAATAATCGTAACACAGAGAACATTAGACCTAATTTTATGAGGAGCTTTCTGACATCTGAGAAGTCAACTCAGCACATGGAAATTCATTACCACAGAACTTCAACAACAAGTTTTTGTTGCATATTTCTTCAGTGCCACTACTGCCAACCAGGTAGGGAGGAAGAGAAAATAAAAGATTATGAAGACATCAGTGTTCCAAAGCCTACAGTTATGGATGATGAACAAGATACATGGGTGTGCATACGTTTAAGCCCCAGGGAACAGATAGAGAATATATTCATGATAGTTTACAATGGAAGATTGTGGACATTCAGAAATACCCTAAAAGGCTATTATGATCTAGAGTAGGTTTCATAGAGTTAGCACCACCTGTGATTTATATAAAACATTAGATTCCTGTAATCTTGGCATTGATGGTCTCAGCTCTGTTAGAAATGGTCAGTGGAGCAATTTCGGATTATTTTAAGAGTTCCGTTTAGATGGCATCAGTCCTCATCTCTGGCTTTCAGACCAGCTCACTATAAGAGTAGTTAAAAATAGCACCAAAGAGAAGAACAAAACGACAGCAACTTGTCTGTTCCCCTTCCCCCAATTCCCCAATAAAAATCTTTAAAAAAAAAAAAAAAGCACCAAAGGGGTTAGAGATAATTCAGAAAGGTATTACACTACATCAAATCAAGGTGAGTATTTCAACTTGTAGGTTATATAGTATGGATGGAACACAAAGGTCTAGTATATTATAGTTTTTAAAACATCATAAATTTGTTTTTCATAGCAATTGCTTTTGAAAATAGAATCTCAGATATTTTCTAAGCCATGGGTGTGCTACTCAACCCTGTAAACAAGGTTAATCTTTGCATTTTGATTCCATATTTGTAGTTCTAAATTGATGTCAGCAGATGGCAGTAGTACACAGCACAAGTCTTAAATTCCTTCTTTTGCTATGCTACTGTAAGTATACTATAATCCTTTATCAGAAACCCTTGGGGGTTTTAGAATTCAGGATTTTCCCCTTTTCAAAAATATAAATACTTGTAAATTACATAACGCTCTCAATGGGGTTTGGGACAGCACCCCACAATCAAAACATTTCTGCAGAAGTAAATCAGATATGTGTAGTAACTGGGATAAACTATGTACAGCTATAGAAAGCTCTACATGGGTCGGTTTTGTTACAAACAAGAAAAACTAGATTTTCAGACTTCTGAATCTCAAAATTGCTGATAAGGAATTGCAGACTTGTAATTAAGAAAAAGTCAGGTGTAGTTTTTAATATCTGATATTTTTTATCTTTTATTGCTGAATTTTGGTAGAGGTAATTAACTGAAGGCTTTCTATAAAATTTGCATGTTCGGTTTAAAATGCAAGGAATGCTTAAAACAGGCATAATAGAAATGGCAGTTCTAGAAGCATTGAATTCTGAAACTTTAAAATAACTGCTTTCTTTGACTTTCCATTTTGCTGTATGTGTAGCGTTCTACACAAATATGATATACTTTTATCAATAGTGGCAGTCATGTTGTGGAGCCGGTCATTTATTCATTCAACAAATACTCGAGTGATTCTTTCAGGCACACTGAACCATGTGCTGGTTACACAGTAGGATAGAAGACCCAGTTCTCCTCAAAGACAGTCTATTGGGGAGAAGTGAAAATGCGATGGAACAGCAGAATAAGGTAGGCACTCATGCCTCATAGTGCACAATCGCTTGCGTTATAAAGAAACCACTTCTCAAGGAGTTCCTCCAGACTCACTGGATGTGAGCCCACCTCTGACTATTATGCCGATCTGTTTTTCTATTCTGAAAAGGACAGGTGCCACCTACTTTGAGGGTGGGGAGGTAGGTGCAAATTGGAAAATGGCAGGGAACATCTACTACACTGAAGGCTCTCAAAAGGTGGTTATGTTTTGAGTTTCGTTTTTAATCAGTTGTCATGCTGCAAGAACATTATATGTCATGAAAATGGGAGCTTATGGGGGTAGGGAGTGTTTTTGTTCCCTGCACCTATTATAGAAACGGTCCCATCACACGCTAGGTGTTAGTGATTGTTCGTTGAATGAATTAATGATTGATTATAAGTACTTTCAAGTTCAAGAATCTTGAAAAATAAAGGAACCACTGAAAATATGACCTGTAGCGTCTGACTTTTGGTGCGCCTTTGAACAGTTGTGTGTGTGTTGGATTTGCCCTGACTGCTGGTACCATACTGCTCAAGTTCCTGCCACTTTCCATTTATGAGGTACATAGGACTTGATGACTTGTAGTTAGTGCTCAGAATATAAGCACTTAAACATCACTTGTGATGTTTGTTAAAATGCAGGTTTCTGATCTGCCCTTCGAGATCAACTTAGTAGATCTAGGGTCAGTCCCAGAGCTGCATTTTTAACACCTGGGTTCAAAACCTACAGTCAAAAAATCAGCCCACAAACATTTTTTACTGAAGTAGAATCAAATGGAATAAACACAATAAAGGTATTTTATTTTATTTTTTATTTTTTATTTTTTTT